CAACACTTCCTCTCACCATGGCAGCCATGTGAGCACTGAGGAGTCACTGTGGAGTGTGGTGGTAGGTCATGACATCATGCTAACGGCTGCTACCCGGCATAATGCACTGACAGAGAAAGATGCCCCTGTAGGTAGGCCTTTGATTTTCATCATGGCATTATGACGGGGTGCTCACCTGGCATAATGCCATGATTAGCACTGTAAATGTGATGTCACCTTCTGTAGTAAGGTACAACATTTCTGCCATAAAGTAAGCTTTCTAACCTGTCCTGGTTTTAATGAAGAATGGTCTCACTGGAGGCCAAAATAAACAGCTCTCCTATTTTTTTGTTTCTTTTCTGTCTCCATGTGGGTTTTGGATCAAACTAAGTGCTTCTGACACTCCAGTTATCATATTAAATTTGGAAAGTAGAAAAAAAATATGAATATTTCAATCCCTAACTTGGATTCTCTTTTTTTTTTTTTTTAACACAGTGACCATCTCCTACAGAGGCTGGGTAACCACAAAAAAAAAAAAAATCAACATCATTCACTCAAATCACTGTCTTGCCAGTATTGTACTGACATCACAGCTCAGATGTAAGTAAATAAGTTTATTCAGGTATACACAAATACAATTACATAGATTATCATACACAGCATATGTGTAGAGAACCTAGGATAACCCAAAAAAGTCAGACAAAGTGACTTATTTCCATTGTGGGCCTTTAAAATACAGCCTCTCCTCACTCAGCAACGTACTCGTTTACCAACAACTCAAACTTATGACAGGCTCTTTGACCAGCATGCACACTTACATAATGTACATTAAAACTCATTTCCTCTATTCTGTTTTTGTCATGAATCCATTCCAGAAGCATAAGAAATAATGTAAATCCAATTACAGTGGACCCTCAACCAACGGCATTAATCCATTCCAGAGAGCTAGCCGTTAGTCGAATTTGCCGTTGGTCGAATTAATTTTCCCCATAAAAAATAATGGAAATCCAATTAATCCATTCCAGACAGCCAAAATAATTAAAAAAATAATTTTTTTCTACATGAAATATACATTTCCCTACACAGAAAACAATTAGACATGCACAATACATACATAAATAAATACAAAAATTACACTTACCTTTATTGAAGAGTATTGATGAGTGTATCGTTCCAGTCACGGTATTGTGCCTTTTTTGTTATTTATTTTCTTGAACACTCTGGGATTTTCAGAGTGATACATGAGTAAAGGCTTCACTTTGCAATCCTCACTAGCATTTCAACAAAACAAGAAAGTTAGCTTGTCTTTCATAGGCTTGTGTCCTGGGAGTGCATTTTCCTTCTGAGTAATGTAGGTCCTGTTTGGCATTTTCTTCCAGAACAGACCTGTTTCATCACAACTGAACACTTGTTGGGGTTGGAATTTTTCAGCTTCACCATGCCTTATCACACTGTATGCCACTATGATTCTTAAATCTCTCAAACCAACCTTTGTTGGCCTTAAATTCACCAATATGAGCACTAGTTCAGGCATTTTTTCCTGTTCACATGGGTGTTAGTTGACTGGTGTGGGTTGCATCCTGGGGGACAAGATTAAGGACCCCAAAGGAAATAAGTTAAGACAGTCCTCGATGACGCACTGACTTTCTTGGGTTATCCTGGGTGGCTAATCCTCTGGGGTTAATTGTTTCTCGGTATTCTCATTAAGCCACACCAACAATAGTCTCTCCACATCTTCGAGTAGCACAGCTGACAGTGGTGCAGCAACAGCTTACGGTAGTACAGCAGCAGAAGCAGCTGATGGTGTTGCAGCAACAGCTGATGGTAGTGCAGCAGCAGCTGACGGTGTTGCAGCAGCAGCTGACGGTGTTGCAGCAGCAGCTGACGGTGTTGCAGCAGCAGCTGACCATGGTACAATAGTATATTTTGAGAGTATTTCTCACCCTTTTTAGCACTAGAAGCTTTCTTGGGGCCCATGGTGGCTTATTTAGCAGTTACAAGCACTAAAAACACTGGAATAATACCAAATATATCGCAGGTACACTTGGAATTGACCACAACGGCTTATAAACATTGGCACACTGGCTATACATGGAGTCTTGGAGTGGCTTGGCCCTCTCAGGCCGCATGCCATTAGATGAGTTTTTCATCGTTGGTAGAGCCAATTTTTTGACTAAAAAGAGTGCCATTAGACGAATTTGCCGTTACTTGATGCTGCTGTTGGGCGGGGGTCCACTGTAATCGATTCTAGGCGCCTAAAAATATTAAAAAAAAATACATTTTATACAGAATAACTATAGTTTTACATACAGAAAACAATGAGAAATAAATATAAATGACCAATGAAATGGATAAATGAACATTTAACATTTAAGATTTGCCTAAAATGAGACACGGCATTGTCACTGAACATGTTGCTGACACAGCTTGCAACAGCTTTGTTAGGGTGATATTTCTCCACAAAACTTTGCACCTCACTCCACTTTGCACAAATGTCCTTAATTGCTGAAGAAGACATAGTCTCCCCTCTCTCTTCCTCCCTGAACAAGTAACAAAGGCAGACTGAGTCACGAACGTATGAGTGGCCACGTCCCGTGGGCAGGCAGACGTGTCTAGTACAGATGAATTCCGAGCGGATGTACAAAAACGGGGAAAATTTCACTGAAAAAAGTGGTTGAAAACTGAACTGTACAATAAATGGACTTGACGAAAACCAGGGTTCCACTGTATTACAATATACCGTACACTACTGTGTAAACTTTTAAAAATATACTAAAAATGTTATAAATGGTGCAAAGGTGACATTAAAACAATATCAAAGATGGTTGACACAAACCCACTACCATTATAGTATGCTCCTTGCTTAGCAACGAATTTGTTTACCAATGTGGTCTTAGGAACGCAACTTCATCGTTAAATGAAAAAAGGCTGTATTCCAATTTCAAAACAGGGTCGGGAATAAACAATGCAAGCATTCCTGGCACTAAAATAACATTTCCTCTGTTCATTAGTTACGTTCCCTGCTTTACACAAGAATTCCATTTTGACTTTATTCACACAAAAAAATTGAAGAATTACTGTTATGAAATATTGTAATAATTGTATAAATAATATCAGTGCCATCATGAATGCATATTAAACCCACCAGTCGACATGTATTGGATGCGTGATGTGATTTGTTTACTCTTGAACATAGGCAAAAACAGAACATTTCCACTACTCAGAGTTTAAGTTTCAAGCGATTTTCAGTCCTAAAACCAATCAAAGTCATCTCTATTTCTGTATTATATCTTCCATTCTATCAAATGAAACCAAGAAACCATGAACATAACCATAAAAATAATACAAAAATACACCGCAAAGTCACTGTTTTAAACTGAAAACATGGTCGCAGTTTTTTCCTCATTATGCACAGCACGCTGCAGGATTTTTTTATATGGTGCACACTTATCAGACCCATTTTCTCATATCTAGGCCAAAATTTACCGCTCACAGCTTATCTGAGTGAGCTGAATTTACGCCAAAGAATAACACCACAGACCCTGGTTTCGAAGTCATAGAACAATGGCACAGACCCTCAAGTGGTTAAATACCAAGTAAAGCCTTTCCATGTGTGTACATGTCTGAGGAAGGTAAACTCCTGGTGGGAACAAAGTACCCAGGAAAAAAAGATTGCAGGAGAAATCTCATCTATGTTATGTCTTTGAAAGACTCGCCCTTTAATTTAGCACCAACCTTGACAAAATCGAGGTACCGTCGCATCGAGAACTGTGGGCCAACCATAAAAGATGCTGGGAAGTATGTGTGAGCTGCAATTTCTACTAATGTTGGTGTATATGGTAAGGCCGTTTTCTGTTGGTCATTTGATAATTTTTCCTGGAAAAAAATAGACGAATAATAATAACTGACTGCAAAATAAAAGTTCAGAATTTATATTAATAATTTCATACATTACTGGGTTCTTCAATATTCACTAGAAACAGCAATAAATTATCAAGGGCAGTTCATATTATTAAAAATGTAGAGGAAATTTTTGCAGTATTATTTGGGATTAAGCTAAATTAAATATTTGCTGGCATCATTTTTTTTTTTCAAGCAAACTGGCTGTATCCCACCGAGAAAGGGTGACCTAAAAAGCAATTTATACAGAAGGGGTTACTAGCCCTTTGCTCCAGGCATTTTAGTCACCTTTTATGACACGCATGGCTTACAGAGGAAGAATTCTTTTCCACTTCCCCATAGAGATAAGAGGAAATAAAGCAGAACAAGAACTATTAATAAAATAGAAGAAAACCCAGATGGGTGTGTAAATATAAATGCATGTATATGCATGTGCAGTGTGACCTAAGTGTAAGCCAAAGTAGCAAGATATACCTGTTATCTCATTTCTTTCTCCATGTGGGTTTTGGATCAAACTAAGTGTTTCTAACACTCCAGTTATCATATTAAATTTGGAAAGTAGAAAAAAAAAGAAACCAGCAACCTTACCATCATGTAAAACAATTACAGGTTTCCGTTTCAACAACTTGGCAGAACGGTAGTACCTCCCTGGGTGGTGGTTGTCTACAAACCTACTACATTAAAATCTTCAATATAGACAGACAGACAGAGACAGACAGACAGACAGACAGACAGACAGACACACACACACACACACACACACACACACACACACACACACACACACCACAACACACACACACACACACACCCCACACACACACACACAGTGAAGAGTAAAGAGGCGGGGCCAGGAGCTGAGTCTCGACCCCTGCAACCACAATTAGGTGAGTACAATTAGGTGAGTATACACACACACACACACACACACACACACACACACACACACGAGCTATGACTTGACCCAAACAACCACATATTGGTGAGTAGACAGAGCTTTTTTTTAACACTGGCCATCTTCTACAGAGGCAGGGTGACCCAAAAATGAAATGCTTTCACCATCATTCACTCTATCACTGTCTTGCCAGAGGCACACAGATATGACAGTTTAGATGTCACTCTAAACAGCAAATATCCCATACCCTCCTTTATAGTGAAGGCATTCACATCCTATGCTTCACACCAATATAATTGTGTTGGTACCACTATACTCTCATGCATTTCCTTCTTTGCTTCCATAGATAATGTTCTTTGTCTCCACAGATACCTCAATGAACCACCCACCTTTTTTCCTTCATCAATTCTATGGTTTACCTTGTCCTTCATAAACCTATCCACTAACAAGTCTGCTTCCAAATATCTGAACACATTCACTTCTTCCATACTCCCTCCCTCCAATCTGATATCCAAGTTTTCCTTTAAATAATTCATTTGATACCCTCATCACCTTACTCTTATCTATGTTCACTGTCAACTTCCTTTACACACCTTCCCAAACTTGTCCACTAACCTTCACAACTTCTTTTCAAAATCTCCCAGAAGCACAGTATCATCAGCAAAAAAGTAACCGTGTCAACTCCCATTTTGTATTTTACTCCACATAATTTAATCCTACCCCTCTCCTCAAAACCCTAGCATTTCTTTTACAACCCCATCTATAAATACGTTACTCAACCATGGTGACATCATACATGCCCATCTAAGACCTGCTTTTACTGAAAAGTAATCTCTTTCTCCTACACACCCAAACCTGAGCCTCACTATCCTTATAAAAACTCTTTGCAATATTTAATAACTTATTACCTATTCTATACACTTGCAATGTCTGTCACATTGCTCTCCTATCCACCCTATCATATGCCTTTTCTAAATCCATTAAAGCAATGAAAACTTCCCTACTTTTTTCTAAATATTGTTCACTTATATGCTTCAACATAAACACTTGCTTTACACATTCCCTATCCATTCTAAACCCTCCCTGTTCATCTGCAATCCTGCTTTCTGTCTTACCCCTAATTTTTTCAATAAACCTACCATACACTTAACTTAGTATACTCAGTAAGCTTATTTCACTATAATTTTTACACTCTCTTTTGTCCCCCCTCCCTTTATATAAAGGAACTATGCATGCTCTCTGCATGCATAGATACCTTCTCCTCTTTCATACATTTACTGAACAAAAGTAATAACCACTCTAAAACTATATCCCCACCAGCTTTTAACATTTTTGTCATGACCCCATCAGTTCCAGCTGCTTTACCCCCTGTCATTCTACCCAATGCCTCATGTACCTTCCCCATATTCACATCCAGCTCTTCTTCACTTCTAAAAGATGTTATACCTCCCTGGCCAATGTATGAAATTACTGCCTACTTCTCTTCACTCAATTTGACAGTTCCTCAAAATATTACTACCATCTTCCCAATACCTCTAACTCTCTACCTACTAACTCCCCTATTCTGTTTTTAACTGTCAAATCCATTTGTTCCTTAGGTTCTCTCAACCTATTTATCTCACTCCAAAACTTTTTCTTATTCTCGGCAAAATTTGTTGAAAGCAGCTCACCTACTCTATCATTTACTCTCCTTCTGCATTCCCTCATCACTCTCTTCACCTCTTTTTCACTCTATATATATTTTATTTTTCAACAAACCGGCCTTATCCAAACGAGGCAAGGTGACCCGAAAAAGAAGAAACGTTTTCATCAAGTTTTTCTTCTTTTTTGCATTTAGTAATTTATAGAAGAGGTTACTGGCCCCTTGCTCCTGGCATTTTAGTCACCTCTTACAACTCATGGCTTATGAAGGAAGGATTTTTCTCCACTTCCCCATGGAGAAGACATAATAATGAATTACAGTAATGATACAAAAGAAAAAATGAATGTCTTACAGGATCTTTCCTTCCATCATATACATCGTAAGTGAGTGCAATGAGTCGTAAAGTCAGCACACAGTGAGGCATACTCCATTTGATGTCGTATGTGTCTGTTCCTGTCATGTAGTAACCTGCAATATCAAATCTCATTAATTTCATGCCATTTAAAGCAAAGAATGAAGTACAGAGAAACCTGTCATTAATGGACTAATAGGGAGGAAGGGGTGTATGATGGTGCCAATTTTCTACAATGCCAAATTATGAAATTAACATTTCATGATCACCTAGTTGTCTTGTGAAGTAGTGGATTTGGTCAACGATGCAGAAAACAACCAGACACTATGAATATGGTCATTGAAACCTGTAGTACTTTACATAATTTCCAGTAATTTTACTCATCTTTCATGATGGAGAGATGAGGTGTAAACTGCTGTGACTGATAGTGGTGACACAGAATAACTTTTATCTAAATCAGAGGAACTGTAAAGCTCTACTAGAGGAAATAATATAGATGGCTGACAAAATGCACATGGCTGAGATGATGTTGAAAGAGGGACAGGTTCAAAAAATGTATCCAGTTTCTATTGTTTACCTCAGTGATGATGCCCATTATGATACATTCTCTGAGAATTCCTAAGTGTTAATAATGAGCCTTCACTTTTTTCAGAGAGTCAGTGTACTTAATGAGAACATCAATCACACTTCATACAACTGACAGTTTTGGTGGCCTCTCAATCTCATCACCATCATCACTGTCCTTTGCTGAACATACAGCCTGATGTTATCTCAGTGTCTTTGCAGAACTTACAGCCTGGTGTTCTCTGAAGTGTCTTTGCTGAACTTACAGCCAGGAGTTCTCTGAAGTGTCTTTTCTGAACTTACAGCCTGGTGTTCTCTCAGTGTCTTTGCTAAGCTTACAGCCTGGTGTTCTCTCAATGTCTTTGCTAAGCTTACAGCCTGGTGTTCTCTGAAGTGTCTTTGCTGAACTTACAGCCAGGAGTTCTCCGAAGTGTCTTTTCTGAACTTACAGCCTGGTGTTCTCTCAGTGTCTTTGCTGAGCTTAGAGCCTGGTGTTCTCTCACTACTGAATCATTTAACATTAATCTCGACATTCATGGTCATCTTGAAAGGCATAAATCGATTAATGAATCTTAACAGTTTTACAAAGGGGCACTCCTACCTTACATATTTACCAACTTTTTTCACCAAGATATTTGAGGAGGTAGCTCATGGTAATGAATATGATATTCTGTGTGGGGACTTCAGTAAAGCTTTTGATAGAGTTCCACATCAAAGGCCACTGAGGAAAATTAAGGCACACGAAACAGTAGGAGAAATTTTTTCCTGGGTAGAGGCGTGGTTGACAGATAGGCAGCAGAGGGTCTGCATCAATGGGGAGAAATCAGAGTGAGGGCACGTCATGAGTGGTGCTCCACTGGAGATCAGTGTTAGGCCCTTTGTTGTTCACAATTTATATAAACAACATTGATGAGGGAATAAATAGCGACATAAGCAAGTTTGCTGATGACATAAAACAGGTCACCTAATTCATTCTAATGAGGACATTAGAGCACTCCAAGAAGATTTGAATAGACTGATGCAGTGGTCGGAGAAGTGGCAGATGCAGTTTAATATAGACAAATGCAAAGTTCTAAACAATGGACAAGAAAATAATCATGCCACATATAAACTAAATAATGTAGAGCTTAATATTACTCAATGCAAAAAGGATTTGGGATTTCTGGTTAGCAGTACTCTAAAACCAAGACAACAGTGCATAACTGTTCTCAATAAAGCAAACAGAATCCTTGGTTTCATATCAAGGAGCATAAATAATAGGAGTCCTCAGGTTGTTCTTCAACTTTATATATCTTTGGTTAGGCCTCATTTAGATTATGCTGCACAGTTCTGGTCACAGTATTACAGAATGGATATAAATGCACTGGAGAATGTACAAAGGAGGATGACAAAGTTAATCCCACGTATCAGAAATCCTCCCTACGAGGACAGACTAAGGGCCCTGAATATGCATTTTCTAGAAAGGTGTAGAATTAGGGGGAATATGATCGAGGTGTATAAATGGAAAACAGGAATAAATAAAGGGAATGTAAATAGCATGCTAAAAATATCTAACCAAGACAGGACTCACAGCAATGGTTTTAAGTTGGAAAAATTCAGATTCAGGAAGGATATAGGAAAGCACTGGTTTGGTAACAGAGTTGTGGATGACTGGAACAAACTTCCAAGTACCATCATAGATGATAAGACATTGTACAGTTTTAAAAATAGGTTGGATAAATACATGAGTGGGTGTGGGTGGGTGTGAGTTGGACCTGACCAGCTTGTGCTATTAGGTCTGATGGCATGCTCCTTCCTTAAATGGATGTGGTCTGACCTGACTAGTGGGTCACTGGTTTAAGCCAGGAGGTGACTTGAACCTGCCTCGCATGGGCCAGTAGGCCTGCTGCAATGTTCCTTCTTTCTCATGTTTTTATGTTCTTATCCATGGGTGCACTTCCAGCCTTGCCAAAAATCTTCACATTACTAAAGCCACGACAAGTATAGAAGCGCCCAAACCAACCATCGCTTCCTTGAAATTCTATGTTCATATACATTGCTGTCCTATGAGCAGCAGAGTGAAATCAACACCACAAGCATTAACACCAAAAGAGCATTGTTGAACACACCATTTATGTATTGCTTCTTCAAGATTTTCATCATGGGCCATTTTCAAATATTTTGTAGGACCAACTGTTGAACCTTTATTGCATGAATCTACACCGAACTTAAGAGCATAGTCTATAAATCTGTCTTTGATTCTACAGATATCTGACATGTTTCTTAACATCAAATGCCTCACATACATGTGCCACTGATACCTCAGACTTAACCTTCTTTATTAATTTAAGTTTCTCCACAACACTTAAAACCACACATTCCTTGGCACTGCTACTTTTTAGAAGCCATTCTTAATTGCACCTTACTTAATATATTAATAAAGTCACAAAAAATGCTCTAAATCCAGTGAAAATCAGAGACTGAATGATAAGTGTATGTGAAAATGAGCACAAACAATAAACTGGCATAAGTGATCGACACCTCAGACAACACTAAAAACAGACAGGTCCTGGTAGTGGCAACTTTGGTCTGTACCGGACAAATGTCAGAATTAAGAGACCTGACCCAATACTTCAGAAGACAACCTGACACTATTGCTATGAGCAAAATGTGCAATTACAGACATTTGTCCATTCTGTCCGATTATCTGGACACCTGTCCAGCAAATTTTGTTGTCCGCCCTAGCAGAAAAACAGGCACCTGTGTGTTAGCCAACTGTTGTGAGTTGCATCTAGGAAACAATGTTAGAAACCTCCACTCCTGAAATGTCATATTCTGTGTAAGTTAATTAACTCTAGTAGTTACTGGAAGTATTTTAAAAGTCAGTAACAGGCATCCTTGCACTTAATGTTAACTAGAAACATAATGAATAAAAGCTAATGAACACTTGTCTAGACTACAGGAATAAACTAGAGTATTATACAAAAAAAATTACCTCCATATTGAATGGAAGAGTGTCATGTTAGTTTCAATAATAACTTACCAACAAGAAGATATGTCATCTGGAAGATGAAAGAAATAATGACAGACTTGAGAGTGCCACTTATAAACTGAAGTAAAAGCCATGTCACTATAACACACACAGCTGAGTGCATTACATTCTCACCTGCAGAAGTTCAAATAAATTAAAATGGATATTGTAAATAAATGGTTCAGAGAACTGATAGGATGAAGAATTAGAGACTTGGGTATCTTTAGTGGGGAAACATTTCACCAACCAGTGGTGAAAACATTACTCCAACCAGTGGCTAAAACATTACTCTGACCCGTGGCAAAAACATTACTCCAACCAGTTGTGAAAGCATTACTCCAATCAGTGGTGAAAATATTACTCCAACCAGTGGATGGAGTAATGTTTCGATAATAAAGATACCCAAGTGTTGCATAAAATGGATATTAATAAACTTTTAAGTAAGGACTAGCCCATTCTGATATTGGATATCTGTACCTCTTGTCCCAATCCACGTACACATTAGAAACATTCTTGCAGGAGTAAATAAATAATTGGTCACCTTGAAGACATATGTGACCCACAATATTTAAATATCAGAACACAAAAACATTAAGTAAATAAATACAGTGGACCCCGGTTTACGATATTATTTCATTCCAGAAGTATGTTCAGGTGCCAGTACTGAACGAATTTGGTCCCATAAGGAATATTGTGAAGTAGATTAGTCCATTTCAGACCCCCAAACATACACGTACAAACGCACTTACATAAATACACTTACATAATTGGTCGCATTGGGAGCTGATCGTAAAGCGGGGGTCCACTGTGTATATATATCTTCTTCTTTCAACAAACCAGCCATATCCCACTGAGGCAGGGTGGCCCAAAGGGAAAAATTAGTTTCTCTTTGTACATTTAGTAATATATACAGGAGAAAGAGTTACTAGCTCCTTGCTCCCGGCATTTTAGTCGCCTTTTACAACACGCATGGCTTACGGAGGAAGAATTCTGTTCCACTTCCCCATGAAGATAAGTGGAAATAAACAAGAACAAGAACTGGTAAGAAGATAGGAGAAAACTCAGAGAGGTGTGTGTGTATATATACATGCTCGTACATGTATGTGTAGTGTGACCTAAGTAGAAGTAGCAAGACGTACCTGAAATCTTGCATGTTAATGAGACAGAAAAAAAAGGCGCCAGCAATCCTACCATCATGTAAAACAATTACAGGTTTCAGTTTTACACTCACTTGGCAGGACGGTAGTACCTCCCTGAGTGGTTGCTGTCTACCAACCTACTACCACAGGATGGTAGTACCTCCCTGAGTGGTTGCTGTCTACCAACCTACTACCACAGGATGGTAGTACCTCCCTGAGTGGTTGCTGTCTACCAACCTACTACCATAGGATGGTAGTACCTCCCTGAGTGGTTGCTGTCTACCAACCTACTACCACAGGACGGTAGTACCTCCCTGAGTGGTTGCTGTCTACCAACCTACTACCACAGGATGGTAGTACCTCCCTGAGTGGTTGCTGTCTACCAACCTACTACCACAGGATGGTAGTACCTCCCTGAGTGTTTGCTGTCTACCAACCTACTACCACAGGATGGTAGTACCTCCCTGGGTGGTTGCTGTCTACCAACCTACTACCTAGGAAATTGGATTCATTTATAATTAATAAAATTTGGAAAGAATTTAAGATACATTAGAAAAGTTAAACTCTTAATACTTGGGTAGAATATAAGCTGTGTTTCACTTACATCATCATAAAATGTCAGGTGTTGTAAGGTAAATGTGCAGTGCAGTTTGTTTTCCTGTTGATATTTTATCTTTACAGTTCCTTGACAATGTCAGAAATCACAAAAGCACTTGGAATTCTATTATTTTTTCACAAGTGGTTATTCTGCATATATACATGTATATATATATATATATATATTATTTTTTTTTAATACAGCTGTTTCCCACCAAGGCAGGGTGACCCAAAAAGAAAGAAAAATGTTTAGTCATCATTCAACACCTTCACCATCATTCATACATAATCACTGTCTTTGCAGAGGCACTCAGATACGACAGTATAGATGTCACTCCAAACAGCCAATATCCCAAACCCTTCTTTAAAGTGTAGGCATTGTACTTCCCACCTCCAGAACTCAAGTCTGGCTAACCGGTTTCCCTGAAGCCCTTCGCAAAATATTACCCTGCCCACACTCCAACAGCTCATCAGGTCCCATTCATTCCTGTCTAACATGCTTGTGCACACTTGCTTGAAGTCCAACCCCCTCCCTTCAACCCTTCCTAGGACAACCCCTACCCCACCTTCCTTCCCCTGCAGATTTATATGCTCTCCAAGTCATTCTACCCTGTTCCATCCTCTCTAAATTACCAAACCACCTCAACAACCCCTCTTCAGCCTTCTAATATGTACTTTTAGTAACTCCACACCACCTCCTAATTTCAACACTACGAATTCTGCATATTTACACCATGACATCTCCACCACCTCCAGCCTCCTCTTTGCTGCTGCATTTGCAACCTATGCTTCACACCCACATGTAGGTACCACTATACTCTCATACATTCCCTGCTTTGCCTCCATGGATAACGTTTCTTTTGTCTCCACAGATACCTCAAAGCACCACTCACCTTTTCTTTTTTTCTTCATTAGTTCTATGGTTAACCCCAATCTTCATAAACCCATCTACTGACAAGTCAACTCCCAAATATCCAATTTTTCTTCATCTAAATCGTTTGATACCCTCATCACCTTACTCTTATCTATGTTCACTTTCAACTTTCTACCTTTACACACCCTCCCAAACTCATCCACTAACTTTCATATATATATCGCCACTCCATACACACACACAGAGCAACCACTATGGAGAAAATGGTAATGATGTTGCTTAAGGCTTTTCAACGTTGCAACTGAAAATATTTCTTAAGGAGCAAGTTAAGAATGGAATGCAGGAGAGCCCAAGCAGGTGTGTCCAGAGACACAGTCCAGCTAGGAATGACCAAAACCAGGAGCTACAGCCCCTAGCCAGGTTGCAAGTGACAGGTGACAAGGAAGAATTTTAAGGATGAAAACAATAGCTAAGCCCATAAACCTTACAAACATGATAGTTATTATATAACCACTCAGTAATCATCAAAGAACCGCCAAATATTCTTTCATTTTGATAAAGAAACAATAGGCAATTTTCTCATGCTTCTGGCACCACTGTAATATTTCATCTGTGTTCTGGGATTTTTACATTGTTTGTATGTAAAAATTTAAGCACATATATCCACCACAACTGACACGTCATAAGAGCTCCAAAAATTTTGACAGACAAGTAACTGATGATCATATATACATGCAGGCCCCACTTTACAATGCTTTTCTAATACAGCAGTTTTCAATTATGTCCATTCTTCATTTATTTAGACTTTCTAAAATAAATATATTCACCACTCACTATAAGCTAAGGATGAAAATATTTTAAAGTAAGTAATTTTTTTTTTTTTATTATCACACTGGCCGATTCCCGCCAAGGCAGGGTGGCCCGAAAAAGAAAAACTTTCATCATCATTCACTCCATCACTGTCTTACCAGAAGGGTGCTTTACACTACAGTTTTTAAACTGCAACATTAACACCCCTCCTTCAGAGTGCAGGCACTGTACTTCCCATCTCCAGGACTCAAGTCCGGCCTGCCGGTTTCCCTGAACCCCTTCATAAATGTTACTTTGCTCACACTCCAACAGCACGTCAAGTATTAAAAACCATTTGTCTCCATTCACTCCTATCAAACACGCTCACGCATGCCTGCTGGAAGTCCAAGCCCCTCGCACACAAAACCTCCTTTACCCCCTCTCTCCAACCTTTCCTAGGCCGACCCCTACCCCGCCTTCCTTCCACTACAGACTGATACACTCTTGAAGTCATTCTGTTTCGCTCCATTCTCTCTACATGTCCGAACCACCTCAACAACCCTTCCTCAGCCCTCTGGAGAACAGTTTTGGTAATCCCGCACCTCCTCCTAACTTCCAAACTACGAATTCTCTGCATTATATTCACACCACACATTGCCCTCAGACATGACATCTCCACTGCCTCCAGCCTTCTCCTCGCTGCAACATTCATCACCCATGCTTCACAACCATATAAGAGCGTTGGTAAACTATACTCTCATACATTCCCCTCTTTGCCTCCAAGGACAAAGTTCTTTGTCTCCACAGACTCCTAAGTGCACCACTCACTCTTTTCCCCTCATCAATTCTATGATTCACCTCATCTTTCATAGACCCATCCGCTGACACGTCCACTCCCAAATATCTGAATACATTCGCCTCCTCCATACTCTCTCCCTCCAATCTGATATTCAATCTTTCATCACCTAATCTTTTTGTTATCCTCATAACCTTACTCTTTCCTGTATTCACCTTTAATTTTCTTCTTTTGCACACCCTACCAAATTCATCCACCAATCTCTGCAACTTCTCTTCAGAATCTCCAAGAGCACAGTGTCATCAGCAAAGAGCAGCTGTGACAACTCCCACTTTGTGTGTGATTCTTTATCTTTTTACTCCACACCTCTTGCCAAGACCCTCGCATTTACTTCTCTTACAACCCCATCTATAAATATATTAAACAACCACGGTGACATCACACATCCTTGTCTAAGGCCTACTTTTACTGGGAAAAAATTTCCCTCTTTCCTACATACTCTAACTTGAGCCTCACTATCCTCGTAAAAACTCTTCACTGCTTTCAGTAACCTACCTCCTACACCATACACTTGCAACATCTGCCACATTGCCCCCCTATCCCCCTGTCATACGCCTTTTCCAAATCCATAAATGCCACGAAGACCTCTTTAGCCTTATCTAAATACTGTTCACTTATATGTTTCACTGTAAACACCTGGTTCACACACCCCCTACCTTTCCTAAAGCCTCCTTGTTCATCTGCTATCCTATTCTCCGTCTTACTTTTAATTCTTTCAATAACAACTCTACCATACACTTTACCAGGTATACTCAGCAGACTTATCCCCCTATAATTTTTGCACTCTCTTTTATCCCCTTTGCCTTTATACAAAGGAACTATGCATGCTCTCTGCCAATCCCTAGGTACCTTACCCTCTTCCATACATTTATTAAATAATTGCACCAACCACTCCAAAACTATATCCCCACCTGCTTTTAACATTTCTATCTTTATCCCATCAATCCCGGCTGCCTTACCCCCTTTCATTGTACCTACTGCCTCACGAACTTCCCCCACACTCACAACTGGCTCTTCCTCACTCCTACAAGATGTTATTCCTCCTTGTCCTATACACTAAATCACAGCTGTGTGTACTGTATATGTGTACTGTATATGCATATTTTGGGCCTAGATATATTGCTCACTTCATATATGATAGTGTAAACCTGTTATCAGGCTTTTATATGCATATGAAAAAAAAAAGCTATGCCTCACTTCACAGCAGTAGCCCAGCACCTAACCTGCTGTATAAGTGAGCCCCTCCTGTATCTAGTGCAACTCCCTATCATATTACTAATATATTATGGGAATTTGTCGTTGCTATTATTATTGTTTTCTCAATTAACTGCCCTTAACGCAATCAAGTTTTTAGCGTTACTTTCATACAAAGTACGTACTGTTATTTTTCATTTCACACACAAGTTCAAGTGAATGTTGGGTTAAATCTACTGTACTTTATAATAAAAAATATATAAATTTATAAAGTTCTATTACAATACTTGGTACAAATTATAAAATTTAAAGTTATTAACTGAGAGAACACTCCATATATTTTTACTTCTCAAGAGCTGCTAAGACTTACCATAGTTAAAAAGAGCAATGCTAACTCCAGTTGTAATGAAATACAGGTGTTGCATCCAAGGACGCTTGCAGTACAAGGTGTACCGATGAATTAGCATTAATGGGTAACCTAAAAGAAAAATATTAAATGCAATAAATTTTACATAACTTTGTTTTACGACATTTTCTGAATTAAATGAATAATAGATAGACAGATAGATATTATATATAAATAAACAGAACTATGTACAGGGATTTGAACTGGTCATGAATGGTAGCAGGTCCAGTGCTCTACCATGTAACCTCATAGCCCAGTGGTAGAGCACTACTACCATTCAGGACTTCGGTTCGAATCCTCATCCATTCTCTTTATTTACTATATTAACATTAAAAAAAAAGAAAGTAAAAGTAAAAATATTTGCATTTGATCAAGGTAACATCACAGACATATCAGTGCATGACTACAGTTGCTTCCATAAGTTCACTGAGAGTTACCTTCCAAGTGCATTATTATTTTATTATTATTATTATTATTATTATTATTATTATTATTATTATTACCCACCAGGGTAATCTTCCTAGTAGTACAGTAGTCCTATAAAATTTTAACTCATGAATAATTCAAAATGAGGTTTGAATGTTAAATTCCATTTCAGCTCTTTATACATTTTGTTTTTCTAAGTTTTATTCACTTGAGAGTTTGGTATCAGAACTTTTAAAAGTTATACACATGGCAAATGTACTGTGACAAGTTTACTGGTTAGGTTAAGTTACATGAACATGTAAGAACATACAGTACTCTATTGAACCACAAATAAGCAAACTGGAAAATAAACTATTGTGACACGCGTGCTCACTCCTGGGTGTCCCGTAGCTCGATTGCTAGCACACTCGGCTCACACACTGAGGTCCAGGAATCGATCCCCGGTACGGGTGGAAACATTAGGATGCGTTTCCTTAAAACAACTGCTGTCCCTGTTCATATATCAGTAAAATAAGTATGTACCTGGGTGTTAGTCAACTGGTGTGGGTCACATCCTGGGGATAAAATTGACCTAATTTACCTGAAATGCTCTGTATAATAAGGAGCTTTCTATATAGTAGTATGTCATTGATGTCATCTAGGCCTGTAAACATTAGTAAGTAAGCAACTTTATTCAGGTATAGGTGTACATGTACTTGTAGAAATAAAGATTGTTACTTTTTTTTTATTTTATTAACACATCAGCCATTTCCCACCAAGGCAGGGTGACCTGAAAAAAGAAGGAACACTTTCATCATTCACTCCATCACTGTCTTGCCAGAGGCATGCTTACACCACAGTTATAAAACTGCAACATCCTGCCCATAATGCTCTGCATACAAGGGGCTTTGGCATGTTACACTTAATTACTGTATTCCTCTGTACTTCTCTGTATCATGTTCAAATTAATAAATAAATAAATAAATAAATAAATAAATAAATAAATAAATAAACATCAACACCTCTCCTTCACAGTGCAGGCACTGTACTTCCCACCTCCAGGACTCAAGTCCAGCCTGCCGGTGTCCCTGAATCCCTTCATAAAGGTTACCTTGCTCATACTTGAACAGCACATCAAGTCATAAAAACCATTTGTCTCCACTCACTCCTAACACACACACACACACATGCTTGCTGGAAGTCCAAGACCCTCGCACACAAAACCTCCTTTACCTCTCCAACCTTTCCTAGGTCAACCCTACCCTGCCGTCTACTACAGATTTAAACTCTCTTCAAGTCATTTTCTTTCCATCCTCTCTAAATGTCCAACAACTCCTCAGCCCTCTGGATAATACTTTTAGTAACGAAACACCTCCTTCTAATTTCCTAACTACGGATTTTCTGTATTACATTCACACCTGGTGTGGGCCAGGCAGCGAGGGTATTGATCCCCAGAATAACCTCCTGGTAGACTCCAGGTAGACACCGCACACTGCCCTCAGACACATCTCCACTGCCTCCGGCCTTCTCCTTGTTGCAGCATTCACCACCCATGCTTTGCACCCATACAAGAGCACTGGTATAACTATACTCTCATACATTCCCCTCATTGCTTCCATGGATAACGTTGTCTCCACAAACTCTTCATTGCACCACTCACCTTATTCCCCTCATCAATTCTATAATAATAATAATAATAATAATAATAATAATAATAATAATAATAATAATTCTAAGATTCACCTCATCTTTCATAGACCCATCTGCTGACAAGTCCAGTCCCAAATATCTGAATACATTCACTTCCTCCATACTCCTCTATTCAATCTGATATCCAATCTTTTATTATTCTTTCTTTCAACACACCGGCCGTATCCCACCAAGGCAGGGTGGCCCTAAAAGAAAAACGAAAGTTTCTCTTAAATTTAGTAATTTATACGGGAGAAGGGGTTACCAACCCCTTGCTCCCGGCATTTTAGTCGCCTCTTACAACACACATGGCTTACGGAAGAAGAATTCTGTTCCACTTCCCCATGGAGATAAGCGGAAATAAACAAGAACAAGAATTAGAAAGAAAATAGAAGAATACCCAGAGGGGTGTGTATATATATGATTGTACATGTATGTGTAGTGTGACCTAAGTGCAAGTAGAAGTAGCAAGACATACCTGAAATCTTGCATGTTTATGAGACAGACAAAAGACACCAGCAATCCTACCATCATGTAAAACAATTACAGGTTTTCGTTGTACACTCACTTGGCAGGACAGTAGTACCTCCCTGGGCAGTTGCTGTTTACCAACCTACTACCTTTTATTATTATTATTATTATTATTATTATTATTATTATTTATTATTAATATCATCATCAAATACATGTGTGTGCTCCTGGCTGTCAATCAAGTATGTGTTTGTGCTCCTGGCTGTATATCAATAGTCTGTGCTCTTGGTTGTCAATGTGTGTCTGTGCTTTTGGCTGCCAATCAAATATGAGTGTGCTCCTGGCTGTCGATCAAATACCTTGTTTCAGAGATACTATGTTTTAATGCTAAACACTACTAGTAATAAAGTGATTCTTCATTACTATATTAATAAAGCAGTAAATAATATTTTAATGATCTACATTGTTACTAATGTAATTATGAATGACACTGATAAGACATAATGACCATAATAAAAATGTTTGATAAGGCAGCGAGCAACAATAAGTGAAGTTATTGAGATATAGCTCTCAAGGTTCCTTGATGCCACTGAGATAGCTCTCAAGGTTCCTTGATGCCACTGAGATAGCTCTCAAGGTTCCTTGATGCCACTGAGATAGCTCTCAAGGTTCCTTGATGCCAGAGATAGCTCTCAAGGTTCCTTGAGCCACGAGTAGCTTCAAGGTCCTGATGCACTGAGATAGCTCTCAAGGCCCTTGATGCCAACTGAGATAGCTCTCAAGGCTCCTTGATCCCAAATGAATAGCTCTCAAGGTTCCTTGATGCCAAGAAAAGCTCTCAAGGTTCCTTAAAATGCCAATGAATGGTCTCAAGGTTCCTTGATCCCAATAATGCTCTACAGGTTCCTTGATGCCAGAAAAGCTCTCAAGGTTCCTTATCCCATCAGATGGCTCTCAAGGTTCCTTGATGCCAATCAGAGCTCTCAAGTTCCCTTTGATGCCAATCAGAGAGCTCTCAAGTTCCCTTTGATGCCAATCAATACTCTAAGGTTCCTTGAGGCCAATCAAAAGCTCTCAAGGTTCCTTGATCCCAAAACAGAGACTCTCAAGTTCTTGTGCCAATCATATAACTGAAGGTTCCTTGAGGCCAATCAGAAGCTCTCAAGGTTCCTTGATGCCCCAAACAGATAACTCTCAAGGTTCCTTATGCCAATCAGGAGCTCTAAAGGGTTTCCTTATGCCAATCAAAGCTCTCAAGTTCCTTCATGCCAATGAGAGAGCTCCAAGGTTCCTTATCCCCAATAGAGCTCTCAATCCTTCATGCCAATGAGAGAGCTCTCAAGGTTCCTTCATGCCAATGAGAGAGCTCTCAAGGTTCCTTCATGCCAATGAGAGAGCTCTCAAGGTTCCTTCATGCCAAGATAGCTCTAAAGGGTTCCTTGATGAAAAGAGAAGCTCTAAAGGTTCCTTGATGACAGAGACAGCTCTCATGGTTCCTTGATGACAATCAGAGATAGCTCTCAAGGTTCCTTGATGCCAGTGTATGTTTATTTATGTACAGATACACATGAATCCAATTACGTACATAAATTATCATACATAGTATAAATTACTTAAGACAGCCCAAAAAAGTCAGTGACTTCCTTGTTCTTATTTCCATTGTGGTCCTTGTAAAAGTTGCCGCGAGTGAGGGGCTCTTGATCCAAGGAATTCAACCTTCAACCCGTTTGCTTGGATCAAACGTGAATGCCTCCCATCTCCATAGGTCCTGCGCGAGCCCTACGAGTTTACCGCTTCCCCGTGAAGGTATTAAAGCGGATTATAACTAACAAATAAGAAGACTTCTCTCCACCACTATTATAACAACTTTTATCACAAAAAGCACAGTGGCTCCCACCTGGGAAATGAGGTATGATCCGAGGAATTGGACGAGAGGGTCAATTACTTGGATCAAGAGCCCGAGAGGGTCCAATGTGAGGCACTATAATGAAAGATAAGAGGTAACACATGGCACACCTCACCGGATATACTGGCAGGAAAAACCTCACTGCTGTTTCATTAACAATTATTATTACTGAAATATTACTTAAGAGGCAGAATATTACCTATCAGTATTGATATGAGGAGTCTGAGCGCAGGTTCTGGTGCACCCAGAGGCATGGGCAAAGCTTTGAAGATACCCACGAGACAGCACCTCCACCTCAGCCATCTTTGTTGTGGCAGCATCAGCTGATGACTGAGTAGCGCAGTGTAGCTGCGCACCTCACTGCTGCTACCTCACAGTGTGGCACCATCAGCTGATGACTGAGTAGCGCAGTGTAGCTGCGCACCTCACTGCTGCTACCTCACAGTGTGGCACCCTCAGTGTATGATGAGTAGCGCAGTGTAGCTGCGCACCTCACTGCTGCTACCTCACAGTGTGGCACCATCAGCTGATGACTGAGTAGCGCAGTGTAGCTGCGCACCTCACTGCTGCTACCTCACAGTGTGGCACCATCAGCTGATGACTGAGTAGCGCAGTGTAGCTGCGCACCTCACTGCTGCTACCTCACAGTGTGGCACCATCAGCTGAGACTGAGTAGCGCAGTGTAGCTGCGCCCCCTCACTGCTGCTACCTCACGTGTGGCACCATCAGCTGATGACTGAGTAGCGCAGTGTAGGTCGCACCTCACTGCTGCTACCCCACAGTGTGGCACCATCAGTGATGACTGAGTAGCGCAGTTTTAGCTTTCGCACCTCACTGCTGCTACCTCACAGTGTGGCACATCAGCTGATGACTGAGTAGCGCAGTGTAGCTGCGCACCTCACTGCTGCTACCTCCAGTGTGGCACCATCACCTGATGACTGAGTTAGCGCAGTGTAGCTGCGCACCTCACTGCTTTCTACCTCACAGTGTGGCACCCTCAGCTGATGACTGAGTAGCGCAGTGTAGCTGCGCACCTCACTGCTTTCTACCTCACAGTGTGGCACCATCAGCTGATGACTGAGTAGCGCAGTGTAGCTGCGCACCTCACTGCTGCTACCTCACAGTGTGGCACCATCAGCTGATGACTGAGTGGCAGTGTAGCTGCGCACCTCACTGCTGCTACCTCACAGTGTGGCACCATCACCTGATGATGAGTAGCGCAGTGTAGCTGCGCACCCCCATGCTGCTACCTCACAGTGTGGCACCATCACTGATGACTGGAGTAGCGCAGTGTAGCTGCGCACCTCACTGCTGCTACCTACAGTGTGGCACCATCAGCTGATGACTGAGTAGGCAGTGTAGCTGCGCACCTCACTGCTGCTACCTCACAGTGTGCACCATCAGCTGATGACTGAGTAGCGCAGTGTAGCTGCGCAACCTGCACTGCTGCTACCTCACAGTGTGGCACCATCAGCTGATGACTGAGTAGCGCAGTGTAGCTGCCACCTCATGCTGCTACCTCACAGTGTGGCACCATCAGCTGATGACTGAGTAGCGCAGTGTAGGCTGCGCACCTCACTGCTGCTACCTCACAGTGTGGCACCATCAGCGATGACTGAGTAGGCAGTGTAGCTGCGCACCTCACTGCTGCTACCTCACAGTGTGGCACCATCAGCTGATGACCCGAGTAGCGCAGTGTAGCTGCGACCTCACTGCTGCTACCTCACAGTGTGGCACCATCAGCTGATGACTGAGTAGCGCGTGTAGTGCGCACCTCACTGCTGCTACCTCACAGTGTGGCACCATCAGCTGATGAAATGAGTAGCGCGTGTAGCTGCGCACCTCACTGCTGCTACCTCACGTGTGGCACCATCAGCTGATGACTGAGTAGCGCAGTGTAGCTGCGCAACCTGCACTGCTGCTACCTCACAGTTTTGGCACCATCAGCTGATGACTGAGTAGCGCAGTGTAAACTGCGCACCTCACTGCTGCTACCTCACAGTGTGGCACCATCAGCTGATGACTGAGTAGCGCAGTGTAGCTGCGCACCTCACTGCTGCTACCTCACAGTGTGGCACCATCAGCTGATGACTGAGTAGCGCAGTGTAGCTGCGCACCTCACTGCTGCTACCTCACAGTGTGGCACCATCAGCTGATGACTGAGTAGCGCAGTGTAGCTGCGCACCTCACTGCTGCTACCTCACAGTGTGGCACCATCAGCTGATGACTGAGTAGTGCAGTGTAGCTGCGCACCTCACTGCTGCTACCTCCAGTGTGGCCCATCAGCTGATGACTGAGTTAGCGCATTTTAGCTGCCCCACCTCACTGCTGTACCTCACAGTGTGGCACCATCACCTGATGACTAGTAGCGCAGTGTAGCTGCGCACCTCACTGCTTGCTACCTCACAGTGTGGGCACCATCAGCTGATGGACTGAAATAGCGCGTGTTTGCGCGCACCTCACTGCTGCTAACCTCACAGTGTGGACCATCAGCTGTGATGAGTAGGCAGTGTAGCTGCGCACCTCACTGCTGCTACCTCACAGTGTGGCACCATCAGCTGATGACTGAGTAGCGCAGTGTAGCTGCGCACCTCACTGCTGCTACCTTTACAGTGTGGCACCATCAGCTGATGACTGAGTAGCGCGTGTAGCTGCGCAAATCACTGCTGTACCTCACAGTGTGGCACCATCAGCTGATGACTGAGTAGCGCAGTGTAGCTGCGCACCCCTCACTGTGCACCTAACAGTGTGGCACCATCACCCGATGACTGAGTAGCGCAGTGTAGCTGCGCACCTCACTGCTGCTTTCCTCACAGTGTGGCACCATCACCTGATGACTGAGTAGCGCAGTGTAGCTGCGCACCTCACTGCTGCTACCTCACAGTGTGGCACCATCACCTGATGACTGAGTAGCGCAAGTGTAGCTGCCACCCTCACTGCTGCTACCTTTACAGTGTGGCACCATCAGCTGATGACTGAGTAGCGCAGTGTAGGGTGGCAAACCCCACTGCTGCTACCTCACAGTGTGGCACCATCACTGATGACTGAGTAGCGCAGTGTAGCTGCGCACCTCACTGCTGCTACCTCACAGTGTGGCACCATCAGCTGATGACTGAGTAGTGCAGTGTAGCTGCGCACCTCACTGCTGCTACCTCACAGTGTGGCACCATCAGCTGATGACTGAGTAGGCATGTAGCTGCGCCACCTCACTGCTGCTCCTCACAGTGTGGCACCATCAGCTGATGACTGAGTAGCGCACTGTAGCTGCGCACCTCACTGCTGCACCTCACAGTGTGGCACCATCAGCTGATGACTGAGTAGCGCAGTGTAGCTGCGCACCTCACTGCTGGGTACCTCACAGTGTGGCACCATCAGCCCGATGACTGAGTAGGGGCAGTGTAAGGCCCGCGCACCTCACTGTGCTACCTCACAGTGTGGCACCATCAGCTGATGACTGAGTAGCGCAGTGTAGCTGCGCACCCCATGCTGCTACCTCACAGTGTGGCACCATCAGCTGATGACTGAGTAGCGCAGTGTAGCTGCGCACCTCACTGCTGCTACCCTTTACAGTTGTGGACCATCACTTTATGGGCTGAGTAGCGCAGTGTAGCTGCGCACCCCACTGCTGCTAAACCCCACAGTGTGGCACCATCACCTGATGACTGAGTAGCGCAGTGTAGCTGCGCACCTCACTGCTGCTACCTCACAGTGTGGCACCATCAGCTGATGACTGAGTAGCGCAGTGTAGCTGCGCACCTCACTGTGCTACCTCACGTGTGGCACCATCAGCTGATGATGAGTAGGCAGTGTAGCTGCGCACCTCACTGCTGCTACCTCACGTGTGGGACCATCAGCTGTGACTGAGTAGCGCAGTGTTAGCTGCCAACCTCAATGCTGCTACCTCACGTGTGGCAACCATTTACTGTGATGAGTAGCGCAGGTAGCTGAAACCCCACTGCTGCTACCTCACAGTGTGGCACCATCACCTGATGATGGTAGCGCTGTACTCGCACCTCACTGCTGCTACCTCACAGTGTGGCACCATCACCTGATGACTGAGTAGTGCTGTAGCTGCGCACCTCACTGTGCTTCCTCACAGTGTGGGACCATCACCCGAAAGACTGAGTAGGCAGTGTAGCTGCGCACCTCACTGCAGCTACTCACAGTTTTTTTGGTGGCACACTGATACCCGAGTAGGCAGTGTAAACTGGCACCTCACTGCTGCTACCTCACAGTGTGGGCACCATCAGCTGATGACTGATTGGCAGTGTAGCGGCACCTCATGCTGCTACTCAAAATTTTGGCACCATCACTGTGACTGGTAGCGCTGTTTTACTGCGCACCTCATGCTGCTACCCACAGTGTAGGCCAAACCCTCAGTGATGAATGAGTAGCGCCCCTGTAGCTGCGCACCTCACTGCTGTACCTCACAGTGTGCACCATCAGCTTGATGCTGAGTAGCGCACTGAGCTGCGCACCTCATGCTGCTACCTCACAGTGTGGCCCATCAGCTGATGACTAGTAGGCATGTAGCTGCGCCCCCTCACTGCTGCTACCTCACAGTGTCACCATAACCTGATGACTGAGTAGCGCGGGTGCGCACCCCACTGCTGCTACCTCACAGTGTGGCACCATCACTGATGACTGAGTAGCGCATGTACTGCGCACCTCACTTTCTGCTACCTCACAGTGTGGCACCATCACTGATGATGAGTAGCGCAGTGTGCTGGACCTCACTGCTGTACCTCACAGTGTGGCCCATCTGATTTATGAGTAGCGCAGTGTAGCTGGCACCTCACTGTTCTACCTCACAGTGTGGCACATCAGCTGAGACTGAGTAAGGCCCGTGTAGCTGCGCAAATCACTGCTGCTACCTCACAGTGTGGCAACCCTCAGCTGATGGGTGAGTAGCGAAGTTAGGCCGCACTTCAATGCTGCTACCCCCACAGTGTGGCCATCAGTGATGACTGAGTTGGCAGTGTAGCTGCGCACCTCACTGCTGCTACCTCACAGTGGGCACCTCACTGATTTACTGAGTAGGCACAGTGTAGCTGCGCACCTCACTGCTGCTACCTCACAGTGGGCCCCCATCAGCTGATGACTGAGTAGCCCCTTTTGCTGCCACTCACTGCTGTACCCACGTGTGGCACCATCAGCTGAATGACTGAGTGCGCAGTGTAGCTGCCACCTCACTTGCTGCTACCTACAGTGTGGCACCACAGCTGAATGACTGATACGAGTGTGCTGCACTCCTCACTGCGTACCCAAGTTGCTCCTCAGCTGATGACTAGTAGCCCCATGATGCACCCTCCCCCCAT